AATGTTCAGGAAAGTCACTTGTGTAAAGCTAGACCATGCACAAAATACTTTCATTTTCCGTATGAAGGATAAGCATATTTTAAAACATGACCATACATCATGCTCAATCTAAGACAACCTAAAATGTGAACCTTTGAGGTTCCTGAGATAGCAGTAGTCAAATTACAGTCATCTTATTTTGGTGACTTTGCATTAATTCTTTACTTCTTTCATACCAACAACAGGCACAAGTCTGGTGAGACAGTCCCGGTTCCTATCCTTTTGTCCTCAGTTTATTCCCTGGAATTCTACATCTGGAGACACCAGGGAACTGTTCCCAGCAAGCGCATCATTAGATGCCACTACTTTTCATGAGTGACTACAAGTGGTGCCACTAGCATGCCTCCATATTCCTGTTAGGAAGCATGCTAATTTTATGTATTTTGCCACAGCATTGTTTTAACCTTTGACCAGCTTTCTCTTTGAAAGTAATGAGGTACTAGACTTGAATTAGACCTCATTTCAAACTCTTCTGTATTTAAATTATCTTAATGAGTGTAATTTTTAGTATATTTACAAAATGCAATGTTTGCCCTATAAATTACCTCAACTTTATTTTCAGCTGGAACTAAAGGGACACTGTAGGCACCCAGACCACTTCGATGAGCTAAAGTGGTCTGGGTGCCTAGTGTATTTCCCCATGTCACTTAACACAACTGTGGTAATTATTGCAGTTTCTGAGACTTATGTTGTAGAGAAAAGGGTACCTTGTGATAATATAAATGAAAGGAGTTTCTGAGAAACTGCAGTTATTACCTCTGAGGGTTAGCTCCTCCTCTAGCCACCAGAGGATGTTCCAGAATCGAAACTGACCTTCGGTCCGTTATCTGACGCTGGACGTCCTCATGCTCTGCATGAGGACCTCCAGCATCAGATTTTTCCTAATGTGAGTGAGGCTACTGCTGTACATTAGGTCTCCCCCGCCAATGTCAGGAGCGTGGGTGGAGCCTGACCTCGGCGCTGGATTCATGTAAGTGACTGAAGGGGGAGGGGAGTTGGGGGGGGGTGCGAGGGAGGGGGGCACTGCAGAGCCAAGAAAACAGGTTTGTTTTCCTGGCTCTATAGGATTCCTTTAAATATACCTTATGGAATGTTGTACCTTCCTCAAGCCTCCTAATGTCACTACTTTACAAGTGGGTGTGTGTTGTTTTATATAAAAAAAGATAAGTTGAACTGTTATCAATATAATTGTAATTTACAAAGTCACAAGAAAAGTTATGAAAATAATCTAAATTAAGTTGAGTACCAACTGAGGGCCTATATCTAATGTCATTTAGGTTTAATTGAAAAACTGCTAATCCTTGAATAATGTCACTAACATTTTTGCGTACTAACTAGAACATCTTACCAACTGTGAATGGTTGGCAAAAGTTTTAACATCATTCATAAAGAATGATAGTTGATGTTATTTGCTACTCACTGACTCGTTTCCATGCTGCATGTAGAATTTTACCGGCTGCCGTTATCTCACCAACATTAAAGGGACACTGTAGTCACTAGAACAACTACAGCTTAATGTAGTTGTCCTGGTGAGTATGATAGTTGCATTCAGGCATTTTCATGCAAACTCTGCCTTTTCAGAGAAAATGCAGTGTTTACATTCCCCCTAGGGACACCTCCAAGTGGCCATTACTCATATGGCCACTGGATGTGCTTCCTGGGGCAGTGCTGCACAGTAGGCAACACTTTCATTCAGCTGAAATTTCCTCATAGAGATGCATTGATTCAACTGTGTTTGGCCCTGCCTCCATCCTGCCTCCTTGGTTATTCCAGCCAATGGGAAAGCATTGGATTGGCTAAAAATCAGTAATTCTGATGATGTCACCAATGAGGCGGATCATTGCTGGGCCAGCATCAGTAGACCCGCTGAACGCTGGAAATAAGGGGAGTTTTTTTCACCTTTTTTAAGGGGGCAATGGGGGTGGGGGGGCAAGCCACCTAAATGGTGGATTAAATACTATATGGGCAGGAAAACATCTTTGCGCGATCGGTCTCCCCCGCCGGATGACGTCGGCGGGGGAGGAGCATGGGCAGACCTGAAACTACCGCCGGACATCTCACGTAAGTCACTGAAGGGGTTTTCACCCCTTCAGCAATGGTTTGTTTTCCTGGCACTGGAGTGTCCATTTAAATACTAAAACATATCTCAAACCATATCAGCTATCAGTAAAAAGAAAGCAAAAGTGCAGATACATGTTCGAAGAAAAAAAACTTTATGCTGATAAAGTGCGTGTGTCTTTGAAATGTGGAATTAAAATAGCAAAAATGAACTTATTGTATGTAAATGTTGGTGTTAATATTGATCAATAAATCTAAATTGCTACCCCAACAAACCCTAAAAACACAATTTTTGTTGTCCAATTCCAACCACTGCCCTACCTCCTGTCTCGGTAAAGCCAATTACAGATGAAGTGTGTCAGGGTAATTCACTAAACTGTGGATTTGTCCTCATTAAATCTGGTGATTATGGCTGGAATGGCAATTCTCATATTTTCTTAAAGGGACACTATAGTCACAGCCCCTTAATGTAGTGGTTCTGGTGTATACAGCCTGTCCCTACAGGCTTTTAAAAGTAAATGCTGCCTTTTTAGAGAAAAGGCAGTGTTTACATTGGTGCTCAGTAGCACCTCTAGTGGCAGTCACTCAGACAGCCACTAGAAGTGCTACACTGGCATTCAGGGCCTCCACACTCTGCATCGAGTAGCTGAACGTTCCCCATAGAGATGCATTTATTCAGGTCAATAAGGAGATGCTGATTGGCGCAGCATGGTGTTTTGCAGCACATGTGCAATATCATCCCACTGTTTTTCCTATGGCAAAGCATTGGATTGGCTGAGATTATCAAGATAGATGATCTCAGCCATGGAGGAGAAATCAGATGGTGCCAGCAGTGGCAAGACTTGCGCGATGTGGGAGAAAAGATGAATAAAATCACCTTTTTACTGAGATTCGAGGGGAGGGTGGACTTCTAAACAGCCACTTTAGGACTATACCCTTAAGAATACATGTTTGTATTCCTGACACTATAGTGTTCCCTTAAGCTAATTCCGGTCAGAATTTGGCCATCCCTACTAAATCTGCACCAACCAGCCAGATGCATTTAGTGACTGGTTTGAAACAGGTGCTTTTCACTTTGCTGACCAGTCACTAGAAAGGCCTCACTCCTCTCCCTCCCTCTTTAATGAAAGTCATGACTATGTTACTATTGAAAGAAAAAACACCCAATTTGCAAAAAAATAAATAAAAAAAAAATAGCCTCCAGGGCTCTGCTCAAACTAATATTTCAAGGTGGGAAATACCTTTATACTTTCCCACGCTTTGACTTCTCAGAAGAGTGCTCTGATTAATTGCTCGATATCCAAATGATAGAAATATGTATACTAAGTAGTTGAGATTGTCTGAATTGAGATAATATGGGTGTGTACTCACAGACAGTGCTTGGATGATGGTCCCATGACATAAGTCCAAGTTTGCCCTAATGTCATTGTTGTGGTAAAAAAATATTTTTAACATCGTAATTCGCAATGTGAGTATTTGAATATCTGTAGGATTAAACTATTGGGAGTAGCTCTAATTTGGATTAGTTTTTCTGCCTTCTGAGTAAATGTACTTCCTTTCTAAAAGAACATTTAAACTGGACCACACGTGTATGTATATACATTGTAAATGCAATTTATTTATAATAAATTTTGCATTCACTTGTTGCTGTCTGAAATCAGTACCACAATCCTACCAATATTTAATAAAAGAAAAAAAGATTGTTGTTTGGTGACAAATTATGCCGAATCTGCAATAGAATTCTTCTGCGCAACAATATAATCGCCAAAAAGGAAACTATACTATTGTCTATAGTGAAAACATATATATATATATATATATATTGATTAACCAGGTGACATATCAGTTAACTGTTGCCCTTTTTAGTCCTTATGTATGTTTAAGATCTGTATTTTAACAATGTATATGTACAAATATTTCAGTCATATAATATGAGTTAAAGGGACACTATATGCACCAAAACAACTTTCGCTTAATGAAGCAGTTTTGGTGTATAGATCATGCCCCTGCAGTCTCACTGCTCCATTCTCTGCCACTCAGGAGTTAAATCACTTTCTTTATACAGTCATAGTCACACCTCCCTACATGTGACTTGTGCAGACTTCCTAAACACTTCCTGTATAATGTTTAAACTTAATTTATTCCTCATTCTGTTAGCATTTTTTATCTCCTGCTCTTTTAATAGCCTCCTAGACACTGTAGAAGCCTCCTGTGTGTGAATAAAGTTCAATTTACAGAGCAGGACAATAAAAAGGAAGTTTACTTGCTTTAAGGGACGCTATAGTCACCAAAACAACTTTCGCTTAATGAAGCAGTCGTAGTGTATATATCATGCCCCTGCAGTCTCATTGCTCAATTCACTGCCATTTAGGAGATAAATCATGTTTGTTTCTGCTTATGCGGCTCAATCCACACTTCCCCTGTGCCTACATGAAAAAAATGTTTTTACTTTCAATCAGATGTTAACTTGCTTTCAACGTTTTTAACTCCTGCTCTGTAAATTGAACTTAAATTACATACAGGAGGCTCTGGCATGGTCTAGCAAGCTATTAGCAGAGCAGGAGAAAACATAAATTAAACAGAATACGCCATAAAGGAAGTATAAACATTAGATTACTCTTTACAGGAAGTGTTTAGGAAAGCTGTGCTAGAACTGCACAAACAAAGTGAAATTATGTCTAAACTGCAGCCAGGAGAGGTGTGACTATGGATGCATAAAAAGAAACAAAAGTGATTTACCTCCTAAATAGCAGAGGATTGAGCTGTGAAACTGCATGATCTATACACCAAAACTGCTTCATTAAGCTAACATTATTGTTATGCCTTTAGTCTTCTCTAATTCCTGATGAATGTAGCTAAAGTGTTACTAAAACCCCTTTTCATTATATTTTGTTTATACTTTCTAATACCCTATTAACTTTTTCTGTTTAAGCAAACCCTTTAAGTAAGTTTAAACTTACCTTTATCCCTGCTCTGGGTGAGGCTCTCCTTGTTCCTTTACATGCGTCCATTTCATGTTATGCTGTGCCAGTCTGAGGACCAATAAAATGCTTCTCATAGAGAAGCATTTGATTGGACCCTTCTCTCAGGCTCAAAACCCATGCACAATATGGAGAAAGGTGGGGAGAGCTGGGAGGAAGCAGACAAGGGAAGCAGACAGGTTTAAGTAATGTGTTGGGGTGTAACAAGCCCCCAGCACAAAATTGCAGATTATTTTGTATGTACATAGTTTCAAGCAGAAAGACTGCACATACAGATTCATTTTTCCAAGCATAAATGGCCATGGAGGTTAGAGTAAAGCTTTAAACATCTCTTTGGCCGTGGCCCGCACCCACTCATGCATGGCGGACGGACAAATATCTTCTTTTTACTTTTCACTATTTTTATGGTTGCACACAATCGCACTATATGAATCCACATGTATTATACACTAAGCTGTAATGTGTTTGTATATATACACAGCTAAGTGGTTGGCCAGAAGTAATACTAGGCTCTAAGATCAGTTATCGTGACTTTACCAATTGATATTCACTATATTAAAATATACTCTGATATTATAGCTTTACCTAGTGTGATTCTAGAACATGGTGGAAAACATTTGGGATGCTGCATGACTGGGCTTTGGCAGAGATCATGTAACAGGTCTGAAAGTGCCCACACTCCATTTTCATTGCCCTCATTACAGTCTCCTGTATGGTTCTAGATTTTTCATTGTTCACTTTTAATTATATCATGATAATGGTGTTTTTTTCTGGGGGTTGAATGCACCCACAACCAGGGCCGGACTGGCCCACCGGGATACCGGGAAATTTCCTGGTGGGCCGCGGCACCTGGGGGGCTGCATGTAGAGAGGGAGCCCTGCTCCCTAATATTTTAATAATATTGCGGCGGCCCCATCTCCTGTGCTGACAGCTATGCTGCTGTCAGTATCAGTGAGTGTGCCGGGTGGCCGCCTAAGCGATCCAGCGGCACACTCACCGATACTGACAGCAGCATAGCTGTCAGCACAGGAGGACTGAGGGAGCATGGTAGTTAGCTCCGCCCCCTCCCTCAGTCCTCCTGTAACAGCAAGCACACAGAAAAATAGGGGAAGGGGGGGGGACAAAAAGAGGGGAAAAGGGGACAAAAAGAGGGGAAGGGGGACAAAAAGAAGGGAGGGGAGACAAAAAGAGGGGAAGGGGGGACAAATAGAGGGGTAATAGAAACACAGGGCAAGGGGGCACACATAGACAGATGGGGTAATAGAGAGACAGGGGATGGGCGTACAAAGAGAGGGGTAATAGAGAGACACCAGGGAAGGGGTGGACAAAGAGACAGAGGGGTAAGAGAGAGACACAGGGAGGAGATGGGAAAGAGAGACACAGGAAGGAGATGGGAAAGAGAGACACAAGGAGGAGATGGGAAAGAGAGACATAGGGAGGAGATGGGGAAGAGAGACAGAGGGAGGAGATGGGGAAGAGAGACACAGGGAGGAGATTGGAAAGAGAGACACACATAAGGTTTGTTGGGGGGACAAAGAGACATACAGTAGGGAAGGGGAACAAAGTGACAAGATTTGTGGGAGGCAACACTGGGCTGGGGAAAAAGAGACAGAGTGTGGCTGGGAGAAGAGAAAGAGGCACACAACTCTGAGTCTGGAGTTAGAAAGAGACACAGATGAGATTTGGAAGGGGAGAAAGAGACAAAGTGTCTGGGGCTAAGAACAACACAAAAGGGGCTGGGGGAAAGAGAAATACAGAGGGAGTGGGATGAAGTAAAAGATGCACAAGGGTCGCTGTAAGAGAAAAAAAGGAGACAATTGGAGACAAGATACACTAAACGAGGTAAAGGTAATAGACATAAATTGATGTGATCCTGACAGTAATACACACATATATATATATATATATGCATGTATATTGATGTGTGTATTAGTAACATATAATTATGCCTATAACATTTACACATATATTAATATACATTTATATATGTATAATACACACATACATGTCATTTTAATATATATATATATATATATATTCTTCCAAAAAGGATGCAGCCCTCTCGGATTTAAAAGTCCAAAATGTATTAGTATGAAGTTAAAAAGATCAACATTTCAGGCCTGCATAGAGGACTTTCATCAGGATCAAATATTATTATTTGATCCTGATGAAAGTCCTCTATGCATCACTGAAACGTTGATCTTTTTAACTTCATAATAATAAATTTTGGACTTTTAAATCCGAGAGTGCTGCATCCTTTTTGGAAGAATGGATACTACTAGCCTTGGCATGCTAGCACCCGGTTATTAAGGGATTACACCGTGAGTGCAAGATCATTTTTCATTTTTTCTTTTATATATATATATATATATATATATATATATATATATATATGTGTGTATATGTGTGTATGTGTGTGTAATGAGCACGTATTGGCCCAGTCTTGTTGCTAGTTGCATACTCATGCACAATAACATATTCAAAGTGAAGATTGCACCCATAGAACTTAAAAATAAACAAGATCACTTCATTTTTTTTTTTAGTTGTGCAACTGCAGACATTCAGCATTTCAGTACCATTACTAAAATATCCTTAATAGGCCAAAGTAGTTGTACTGAAACATTGATTACATACAAATGTACGTCTACTTAAAATAAAGGCGCTCTTTTGTTTATTTTGAAGCCCTATATGTGTTCTTTCGTTGGAGTAAGAGTTTACAATTTCAAGTTATTTTTTCACCCTCTATATCTGCACACTATGCTGGCGCAACGCATTATTGGGCTGGTATAGAATTTTTTTCCAGGGCTGCTTTTAGTTCCCAGTCCGGCCCTGCCCACAACCAATTATGCAGCACCCGATGTGTGTGTGTCTGGTTGAGAAGTCAGGTATCCTATTCAGCTTCCCTACCAACTCTTATTTCATGTGACGTTCTTGAAACTTCATGGAGAAACCAGTACCTTACATAGCCTCTACCATTGGGAAGCTTCTGCTTTACGAGGTAAAAAAGGCTCTCTGGGGGTTGGGGACACACACATGGTGTGAGAGGGAGAGGGACACACCAGAGGGTGGTGAGTGGAAACAGTCACAACTATGGATTCTCTGATAAATGGTGGCACAGGAGCAGAAGCCAGATGGTAAATAAAACCCTAACAGCTCCTAAAGTAAATAAATATACTATTTACCATACTGCCTTAGAAGCTGTTTCGCAACTATCTAGTGAAAACCGCAAAATTTTGAGTAAATTACCTGGTTTGAAACAATCTCTAATTTGGCTTTCGTTACAGCTTTTCTCTTTTGTCTCTATTTTCTTTCTTTTTTTTTTTTTTAATCAATCATATTCTTTATTGAGATTTGAGCACACATCATGTAAGTGACAGGAAAATAAGAAATGTGTTAGACAAAATACACGACACTTTAAACTGGCATGGTAGAATACATCGCACATTTTGTAATAGAGAGGAATCAGGCTGGATCAGCATGTCTGCGTGCTGGATACAAGCCATACTGGCGTGTACAGCTTCTCCCTTTTGGCATGAATATTGCAATTTGATTTTCCACACTGTTTAATCAATAAACCCGTTTGTCTAGGTATACGTATTTTATCAGTACGTACCACCACATATGTACACAGCCATTGATAGCTGGGGATAACCGGAAGTCACCCAGGCCATTACAATGCAGCAGTAGCAAAAAACAAACTCTGATTGTGGAGGAATCATGTGATATTACAATCCGCATTCTCATTTTTTTTATGTTGTAATGGAGTTTAAAGGAATATTCATAATAAAAACTGAAACAATATATATATATTTTATGGGGCTGACTGGGTGTTATTTAAAAAAAAACAAATAAATCTAAAGTCACAGTCCACATTTCATACCTCCCAACTGTGGGAAAGTGTTAAAAGCAGGACTAGGAGGGGGTGTGCCTGTGATATACAGAGCATCACTAGTGTTGTGATAAGGGGAGGGGCACTGTTAAAACGACTTTAATGATTTACTAAAGTAAGAATTGTCTGGCATTTAACATTTATAGCCAGAGTAATTGAACTAGATGCATTGCTGACTCTGATTATTTTTACAGTTCAACTATATTGGCCTTAAATTTAAAATTCACTTTGAACTCCTGACAATTCCCACTTTTGCTATTAACCCTGAGTAGGCGTCAGCCTGGCTATTAAATAGGAGTTTAAGCAGGGGTGTCCAAAAGGTAGATCCCCAGATATTGTAGAACTACAACTCCAATGATGCTTCACATGCCTTTGAATGCCTTTAGAATGACAAAGCATAATGGACGCTGTAGTTTTAAAACATCTGGGGATCTACCTTTTGGGCAACCCTAGAGTTAGAGATTTGTTCCAATTATGCTATTTTGGTCTACATTATGCAGAAAGTAAGGAACTTGTTATTTAGCAACTATTCCCTTCTTGTTCTTGAAAAGTTTGCTGGTAAACTACTACTTAGTTTGCTGAAATTAGCTAAATAATGGACTTCTTATTGAACTTGGCATCATCTATGTTGTCACTTACCTGACAAGATTTTTTGTAGTTACAAACATGGAGCTTAATGCACCGATTCCTCTATAATTCACCATTTCAATTCACTTTTGTTTTACACTATAACACTGACACTTCTTAGATAAAATGTTACAAAATTAAGAGATAATAAGTGCAGACCATATTATCATGTGACATACCATCTACAATCATTTCTCTTGATCACCAGAGTGGCTTAGTCACTCAGTATGTCATGAGGAATATTAGAAAGTGCCGCGCAAGTTAATATGTTGATTTCAGGGCGTTTTAGCCACCTCCTGGTCCAGGTCCATTATCTTCCCAATTTCTGACCTGCCAGAGTTTGCAGATATGTAAACATGCTTTTGATAGTAATATCGTAATTTATATAATGCAGACCATAAAAATGAAGGAAACATTCATTGACATACTTTTTTGCATGCTTAGCAAACGCAGGGTCAGATTTTGGTTTAACAGGCTGCGTTTAAAGGGTGCTTAAAGAAATGCAGGATGATGCATCTAGCAGGGCATTGCAGAGAAATTATGGACTTATCAGAACAGCTGTGCAAAATCCAGACTTTTCTCAAGGTGTGTCTTGTAAAATGTAGGTGATGAATTATATATAATATATATTTACTGTTAAAAAAAAAAAAGCTATGTGCGTGTGTATGTGTATGTGTGTGAGAGAGATTAGTCAATGAACCCTAGTTATCAGATCACTATTTAAAGTGTAGCTATCATGATTTCCTTATTTTTTTTTTTACAGCAGTTAAATGTTGATTCATTCTTTTTTTTCAAAAAAGTGACAATTAAAGGGACACTCTAAGGGAATCTTTAAAGGAACACTCTAAGCAACCATAATATGCAAGATTTAGACTTTTATTATAGTAAGAACAAAGATGAAGCTGTTATTTAAAGTTATGGAAGTGTTAAAGATGTAAACAAAGTTTCGAATTGCATAAGATCGAAAATCAACATGAAAGTTTAATGTTTCTGTGACTCTCAAGATATCTGCTTATTATGGCGGGCCCTCATTTGCTCTCTTATACTGATTTTATCCAAAAGCCAAGCTTTCTCACCAAAGTAGCGGTAAATGAGAGCAACTACACTACATCTGTCTCCGTGGTACTGTTAATTTGCTGGAGTGTCACAATAAATGGCAGTCCTTCTCGTCTGCATTTATGCCGCCATTAAATCCACTACAAGGTTACACTTATATTTCAACTTTTTAGCCTAAAAAAGATCAGAAAGTTACAAAGTCAAAAGTAACACTTTTGCTGTCACTTTACCTTTTTAATAACATTTTATGTTACATTATGCTTGAGCTTGCAAGGTAACATTTAGCAACTCACACCTGATTTTATTTTCCCGATTGGCTGCTCATTTTGTGTATTTTGTAACTTCTTTTCAAACTGGGGAAAAACAGGAAACTGGAGGAGGGCAAGATTCATGCCTAATACACGCTTAGGTACATTCCATCCATAGAAGATAGTTTGAAAAAATATTACTAAAAATATATTTAATATTGCTAAATTTGTTTCTTTTTCTTAAAACAATTTTTTTCTAAAACATTTGCATGTACAGCTTTTTTTTCTTACTAGAGGAAATATTCTCCTCTTAAAATTGAAGCAATGCCAACTTGGATAAGATAAGAAAGAAAAAATAAATAATATGTAATAACAGTAATCATAAATAATATGATACATATTGGCGAACAACCTAATATATGAAAAGAATTCCAAATCGAGAGTGATTTGATAATAAAACATCTTAAAGGCAGAAAGTTATGACTAGCATTAAAGGGACACTCTAAGCACCATAACCACTACAGCACACAGTAGTTTTTATCATGCCATAGTGCCATCCTACTTTAAGGTGTCAAACCATTTTAGTTCAGTTTAACAAGTCACAGTGCAGCCACATACCCTGCTTCTGGTATTGTCTTGTAGGAGAATTTGGTTGATTGTACAAAGCAAAGCAGGATTGTGCAAGACCCATCTCTTTAGCTGGGATTGTCAGCTGAGCTCCCTAAGTTAATGAGCACGATCCTGAATCGGCCATGCTTTATTCTCTATTACAAAGATGCTAAAAGGACCCGCACTCAATCTCAGCGAGCACTCGGTGTACTGGAACAAGACCAGCAATCCCACAACGATAAGGCAACAAAAAGAAAATCTCCAGGCACTCAGGGTGTGCAAGCTGCTGGCAGATTTAATGGCACGAAAAAGAACAGCAACGTTTCAACCTGCCAAGCTTGACAAAGACCTCTTGGCAGGTTGAAACATTGCTGTTCTTTTCGTGCCATTAAATCTGCCTGCGGCTTGAACACCCTGAGTACCTGGAGACTTTCTTTTTGTTGCCTTATGCTTTATTCTATAGTGACATCTGGTTTTCTACTACAGGAGAGTGTGAGCAACCTAGGGTCCCAGGTAAGATTTCCGATCACACTAAAACAGTTTTTAGGTGGACCGATGAATCAACCATGTCAATTTCAGTGCTCCCTGCAGGGTCCTAGTGCCATAATCATAGTGCGAGCACATCTGTTCCAAAAAGCAGGACACCAGGGAACAGGACCCAAAAAATCAGGACTGTCCTGCCGTATTTGAGACGGTTGGGAGGCATGATGTGCAGGTTCCATGTGTAAAATAGTTTCTGTAAAATTATTAAATGATGTATGTGATGTTTATGTTTTTGTGCATATGTCCCAACATTAGGAGGGATGAAATTTAGAAGTGAAGAGCAGCATGGAGTAATACCATTACTTAAAATGTGCTGGTACCTGGAGTCCCCCTTGAATTTAAATTCCTTCTGCACTCAAATCACAATTACAGATCTGCTGATGAATTAGTAAATCTACATGCGTTTGAAATACTGCAATGAGAACTAAGTGACATGCAAGTTGGGCAAAAAAATTGTTTTTTTACAAGCGATGCTCAGTGACTGTCATCTTTGTATTTAATTTTTGTTTGGAGAAAGAAATATTTGTTGATACCGAGTTACACTTCACAGACAAAACAACTTCTGTTGCTGTCTAGTTAGGCCATTTTACCAGTCTGTTTGCTGTGTGTAATAATATTTGACTCAAGTATTTCTTGAATTTTTTTATGCAGTCTGTTAATAATTTGAAAAGTAGATTTTTTACAGCACTGAACACCATGATTAATATTCCAGCTATGTGAGTTTATGTTGTCATATGTTGAGGCCTGTTCTCAAAGGGCTAGTAACAAAACAAAATTTGAAATGTTTGTGTATACTGCGGTATACTAACTGTACCCTTTTTCTTTCCAGCTGGGCCGTGACGTTCCTTGATCTACCACTTCCTAGATAGCTGTATACCGCAGGGAAAATGAGGGACTTTTGGGGGCAGATGTGTTACCATTACACTACCATAATGCCCCTAAAAATCCTTATTGTTCTTGCAGAGTTCTTCTGATGTGCCAGTCCCCGTCTGAATAACAGGAAGATGTTGCTGGAATGTTTCGGAAAAGCCACTTTAAGCCACCATGTTTCTTTGATTGCTAGATTTCTGACCATGCTTCAAATATAGAAAAGCTGAGATGTGCCAACATATACAAACTGTTCGTGCCAATGTTTTGAAAGACGGATAGGGGTGTTTTGTTTTAACACTTTACCTGCCAAGCAATGTATTACTTGGCAGTCATATTGGAACTGTTACCAAAACCCCAAGCTTTGTAATAATTAAGAAAGCATAAGATTTTAATTATGTTTACATTTTTCCAAATGATTTAGCAGATTTAGAGATAATTTAATAACAGAAATGCATTTACATTGACAGTCTCGGGTGCTCAGCGTATAATATGTACCACTGTACCAGGATGCACTTTGCTTTTTTTTTTTTAAATGGCTGTTCATTTTTTTAACTGTTTGTAATGTGCTGTTTTGTGTGTAAGGGAAGAGGAGAATGTTAAACCATTGCCTTGTTTATTTGGTAAATTGAAATCTATTATGTAAAATATCTTAAAGAGACACTATAGTGCTAGGAATATGAACTTTTATGCCTAACGCTCTAGTGGCCTCTATCCATAGTTAAATACAGTACCCCCTCTGGATGGTTTTCCATAAAAAATATAAAATTCTCACCTTTTTCCACCTGCTCACCTCTCCTACTTCCACAATGTCATTTAGGCGGTAGGACCTCCTCCACGATGGTCCAATTCAATGTTCCTCATAGATGAGCATTGGAGACTTTATGTGCATGCGCAGTGAGTGCTGCTCACGCATTCAAGCTTCCCCATAGGAGATCAATGTATTCAATGCTTGCCTATAGGATTCCACAGTTTAACTTGGTCAGTGCAGCGGAAGTGCCTTTAGTGGCTGTCTTTCTGACAGCTATTAGAGGTGGATTTAGTGCCTGCAATTTACATTGCAGTTTCTAAAAAGCAGCAGTGCATTGCAGAATTAAAAGGACATCACCACTGCACCCAGACCACTTCACTGATATGTAGACTGGGTGATTATAGTGTGAATTAAAGGAACATTTAAACATTTCTTTTATTGTTTAGAGAGCATTTATGCCCACTTGACTTTTGTTAGGTTTTCCTATTTAACACTTTGAAATGAAAGACGTTTTAGCATAGGCTTTGAACCCATGTGCATAATGTTTTAGTATGTATACTATATGAAGTGTACACTAGCTAAGCACAGGATAAAGTAATAAAGCTTTTTTTCCATTTAGGAAGGGTTTATTGCAAAGGTAATTTATGACGATTTTAGACATTACAGTAATCTTAAACGGCATGTGTTAGTTGGCAACATTATAGCAGTACATACATTTCTAACATTGGTAGTAGGTATATCATTAGTACAAAGCATAGTGCATAAGATATAGTGTGCTGGGCATAAATATCAACCCTAGTTGAGAACCAATACTATCTAGTCTTAGTAAGTAGCATGCTATATAGAATACAGCGCTATGTATAACATGATTTCATATTGAAATGGTCAGTATACAAAACTTAGTGCAAAATAGCAGCAAACCTGTAGGCCCAACTAGCAGGGTACAACCAATCAGAACGCAGCGTACAGCATCTAAACATTATATAGAAACATAGAATAAGAGTCTGCCCAATTTTCTAAATACATTCATTAGTCCGCGGCTTTATCTTAAGTTTAGGATAGTCTAATGCATATCCCACGCATGCTTAAACTCCCTCACTGTGTTAACCTCTACAACTTCAGCTGGATGGCTATTCCATGTGTCCACTAACCTCTCTGAAAAGTACTTCCTGATATTATTTTTAAAGCTTTGCCCCTCTAATTTAAGACTATGTCATCTTACTGTTGTATAGCACGGTGTAAACAATTCCAGCAGGAAAATCATTGTGTTGTAAGTGGACATTATGTGAGACTTATGTGGCTGAAGTCTCCGAGCAGTTTGCAAGTCCCCCAAAAGGCAGTCTGACCACACTTCAGGCGCCCAGGAGACCCGAGCGAAACAGAAGCTCCCCCTATCCTGCAACCCTAGGTCCAGGAATCTCCACATTACAGGCAGAACCGCAGAACTGGAACAGCCGCTCAAGGCTTTGCGCAGTTATCGGTCCACAGGGGATATAGACCCACTCCCACATAAAGCCTCTCAGCAGAGAGGACATATATTCTGCAGGCCTCCTCCAAACCTGGATGTGAGGCCAGCTCAGGTCCAACTTCACTATGCTGTAAGGACACATTTACAGGATTAAGCTTCGAGGCAGCAGATGCAAGCTCTACAGAGGCCTCGAGCTGCAGCCAATAAAGAAAGGTGTGGGACTCTGAAGAGCTGCCACAAGGTACAGTAAAATGAAAGACCTTTACTTGACGATGACCTCCACTCTGGGTAGGGGTAATCCACAAAAAATTAGAGAAAGAAAATAGTTTCTAACAGTAACTGGGCCAGGATACCTTCCCTGACCTGGGGTGAGAGGGAGCAGACACATGAGCATGAGGTAGGGTTTTAGTATGTATGTGAGTAGCATATGAGGCTCTAATTAAATTAGGCTTGACTAGTTGTCTGCCATGAGGTGTAAGGGCTACAATTAGGATCATTGGATAGACTAAAGGTTGCTGTTGTTGCTCAGGTCTCAAACATGGGTAAGATTGTAAGTCCTTGAGCAGGAGATATGAAAGATAACTTCTGACCTGGACAGGAGTCTATCCCCACAACCCCTAGCTAACAAGACTTTAACTCAGTACCAAATGTGTTTTTAATACCATCTTGACCATCTTTACCACTCCTAATATGGAATATTTTATGGTCTTTTAATTCATATATACGGTAGTTTTGCGTATGCAATTATCTCTACATAGCAAGATAAAGTATACACAATTAAAAAGAGGAAAAATGAGTTTTAAACAAGACAATTTGCTATACTGTCATTATCAAAGAGAGAGGAAATAGCTGCCAGTGTATTTAGTCATGTGATACATAACAGATCATATGACTGAATGAAGGCTTTTTCACATTCAACTGACAGATTCATATTGCATACAGCATGTTACATGCAAGTTGTAGGTGAGTCATAAGGCTACGGCAATTGATTACCTTTTCACATAATATGATTTTATGCCTGCGTTTTATTAAAATGTATTTATTTTTCAAATCTAGGAAAATAATTCTGTTTGTGACATTTAAAATATATATTTTTTTAACTCAGAAGCTCTTAAACAGAATTGGTTTTCAAGATGCAAAAAATAAATGCAAGCTATTTTATGAAAATTATGCTTTTTAACACGTGTCATCTAAAATATATTTTGAAATGGTAAGTTTAATTTGGCGTTTGTTAACGAAAAAATGAGTTTAGCTTAAATTAAAATAGTCTTCCAAAAATGTAGGTGAGTCTGAAAAACGCCATCACTGCTAAATTGGAGAATTTTCTAAGACTATTATAGCTTAAATTTTTCAGCTTTCCAATTCATTCATTTTTTATATACATACCCTATAGAATCTATATATATATATATATATATATTTATGTATAATCTTTGTTATAGTATTCGCAACTGATTTGGGCTTCATTATCATGCTATAGAGTGAAGCCATCTTTACTAGCAGAGCACAGTTGTAGTTACTTGTTCATTTTGTAAAAGAGCTTTGGTCATATAAAATGTGTAAATTAGCAAAAAATTATCTAGTATATACCAGCTAGCAAATAGTTCAAATAAAAAAAAAAGCCTTTTGGTCTACAGACACCAGGGAATAGTCCTCGGGTAGCACAATGCGAGCGCATCATTAGACACCCTTGCGCTGTGCAAGTTGCACTAGGACCTTGAAGAGGGCTCTTTATGTAAGGGTCTGGCCTGGAGGCTGTCTATGTGAGGGTCTGGCCTGTAGGCTTTCTATGTAAGGGGCTGGACTGGAGGCTGTCTATAGAAGGGACTGGCCTGGAGGCTGTCTATGGAAGAAGCTGGCCTGGAGGCTATCTATCTAGAGGGCTGACCTGGAGGTTGTCTATGGAAGGAGCTGGCTTGGAGGCTGTCTATGTAAGGACTAGAAGGGATGCTATCTATGTAGGGGGCTGGCCTGGAGGCTGTCTTCGTAGAGGGCTGAACTGGAGGCTATCTATGTAGAGGGCTGAACTGGAGGCTGTCTATTTAGGGGGCTGGCCTGGAGCCTGTCTGTGTAAGGGTCTGGCCTGGATGCGGTTTATGTTGGGGGCTGGCCTGGAGGCTGTCTGTGAGCCTGGTGTACTTGACTCAAGGCTCACACATCCCATTCAGTGGGTGGAAGTGCCTACTTCCTGGGAGGGCTTGACCATTGTGGTCTATGTTTATGTATGGGTCTGGCCTGGAGGCTGTCTATGTAAGGGTCTGGCCTGGAGGCTGTCTATGTAAGGGTCTGGCCTGGAGGCGTTCTATGTAAGGGGCTGGAGTGGAGGCTGTCTATAGAAGGGACTGGCCTGGAGCCTGTCTATGGAAGAGGCTGGCCTGGAGGCTATCTATCTAGAGGGCTGACCTGGAGGTTGTCTATGGAAGGAGCTGGCTTGGAGGCTGTCTATGTAAGGGCTAGAAGTGAGGCTATCTATGTAGGGGGCTGGCCTGGAGGCTGTCTTCGCAGAGGGCTGAGTAGAGGCTATCTATGAAGAGGGCTGAACTGGAGGCTGTCTATTTAGGGGGCTGGCCTGGAGGCTGTCTGTGTAAGGGTCTGGCCTGGATGCGGTCTATGTTGGGGGCTGGCCTGGAGGCTGTCTGTGAGCCTGGTGTACTTGACTCAAGGCTCACACATCCCATTCAGTGGGTGGAAGTGCCTACTTCCTGGGAGGGCTTGACCATTGTGGGCGTTACCAGTTATGTACAATGTGTCACTGGCGATGTCCCTTGGAAAGAATTCCCTTCAGGATTCTCTGAGGGGCAAAGTTGGGAGTTATGTATCAGTTTTCTACTACATGGAGAAAACAGACTGTTGAGCTGCAACTCCTAGAAACTCTGACTGTGTAGCCTCTCAGGATAGTATATTATATACTTATATAAACAGTCATACTTTTCCTCTCTCATTAAATCATGCTCCCCGCAATCCCAGGTGTCTCTTTGACACCTTTAACTCTCTTCTTTGCCCTGCTCTGGCCAACACCCAAACTAGCCTTACAGCCGATAGCTTTCCAAGCTACTTTACTGACAAGATTGAACAGCTAAGGAAATAATGCATTCCACCTTGCTGTTCTCTTTCTCAACCAATGTAGATCATGCCTTTCCTACCCTTCAGCCTTCCTCCCGGGCTACTGAACAAGAGGTGGCTGCGCTTCTCCTTTCCTCTCGCCTCATCATTTGCCCGCTCCATCCTGTCCCATTTCACCTTATCAGATCTCTCTCCCCTTGTCTTGTGCCTTCCTTAACACACATCTTCAACTGCTCTCTCTTCTGGCGTTGTCCCTGCTGACCTTAAACATGCCACTGTAGTATCTATCCTGAAAAAAACATCATGCTCTCCTTCTTCAAACTCTTGGTCTCTGTGACGCTGTCCTCTCGTAGTTTTCCTCTTATTTCTCCCAACGCTCATTCAGTGTCTCCTTTTCTAATGATACCTCCTCCCCTCGTCCTGTCTCTTTTGGAGTATCCCAAGGCTCTGTTCTTGGTCCCCTTCTATTTTCTCTTTATACTGCCTCTCTTGGCAAACTTATTACCTCATTTGGATTCCACTACCACCTGTACGCTAATGACACCCAGATATATCTCTCCTCCCCGGACCTCTCCCCTGCCGTCCTGCAACGTGTCACTGCTTGCCTTTCTTCCATCTCTGACTGGATGTCCTCACACTTTCTGAAACTCAATCTCTCTAAAACTGAACTCCTTGTCTTTCCTCCTCCTAATACTGATCCTCCTCTCTCGCTCTCCCTTCAAGTTAGTGGTATCCACATAAGTCCATCCTTGCAAGCGCGCTGTCTTGGCATCATTCTTGATTCTGGCCTCACCTTTGAGCCTCACATCCAGTATGTTGCCAAATCCTGTAGATTCCATCTTAAAAACATAGCCCACATCTGCCCCTTTCTTACGCAAAATGCTACCATGGATTATTGTAACCCCCACTTAATTGGTCTTCCCAAAAGCCATATTGCCCCACTACAGTCTGTAATGAATGCTGCCGCCAGCCTGATTTTTCTCTATAGTCGGTCCTCTCACACCTCACCCCTTTGTCAGTTCTCACATTGGCTCTCTATATCTTATAGGAGTCAGTTCAAAGTGCTAACCCATACCTATAAAGCACTGAACAATTCAAGCCCCTCTTATATCACTTCACAGATCCATAGGTATGCCCCTTCTCGGTCTCTCTGCTCTGCCCATGACTTTCTCCTGTCCGCTGCTCGCACCCGTACTGCCAACTCACGTTTGCAGGACTTCTCGCGGGCGGCTCCCTTCCAATGGAATAGCCTGCCTACCGCCATCAGACTCTCCCCCTAGTCTTCAATCGTTTAAGAAGTGCCTTAAAACCCATCTCTTTAGGAAAGCTTATGGCCTCCCAGAGTAACCTCTACGTCACACACCTGTCTCTTGCTCTCTCCTAAAGGGCAGCACTTTATTTTCTCCTCCAGCTCTGCTTCACTCCCACCTTATTTGATTGCTATTTCCTGTCCTATTGTATTTTATACCCCACTTCCTATAGACTGTTAGCTCGTTTGAGCAGGGCCCTCTTCAACCTTTCGTTCCTGTTAGTTTTCTTGTAATTGTCCTATTTATAGTTAAATCCCCCCTCTCATAATATTGCATTATATAAATGGCAATAATAATAATAATAATAATAATACTTATAATCTAAGTATATTTGAGTGAGGGAATGGGATGGGCGTGTAGTTGCAGTGATTTGTGTTGCAGTTAGAAGACGGTGAGCAGAGACAGGACTGGCTTGTACCCATAATGCAAAGGATATAAAGTCCAATGTTTTTAGACATTTCCTTCAAAATGGAGAACAGCTTTGTCTCTTTGAGTATAATGGTTTCTGCACAGGATGATAACTTGGGTTATCACTAAATTGAGAATTGTAGGTAATTCAGAGTAATTTTAAAATGTAAAGCTGAATTACAAGGAAAGATGACTTGGCTAGTTTGGCCTTATATTTACTTTGAATTCCCTAAAATTCTCACTTTAGCAAATAACCCTGCACGTATCTTTGTCGATGTTCACAGTGAAGCTGGTTTAGTTTATTTATTTATTTATTTTAAATATTTGCTGTATGAATTTCACAAATATATCAGCTAACTGGATTAAAAGAAAGTTTGGCATGCATCTGAGCAATCCTTCTGTTAATGAGAAGTACAGATACGGCATTCAGACGAGCAGGCAGGAGGCAGTGTTTAAGTGGTGAAAATAAAAGCTGACAAGAGATGGGATAATTCGATGACAACTTGAAGGCTTCCATAGATAATGAACCTGCTGCTCTGATTTGGCTTTCACTCTCACTAGCACATATTGCTACAACACTAATTTGCCACTGCAATCTGTTATTATTAAAAAGCTGGATCTCTATTATTATAATTAAACTGAAACCTCAGTGTAATAAAAAACAGTTTTACCCAGCAAGTGTTTACACCGAGTTATGAAACAAAAAAACAGACTGTTTATAGTATTGTCAATTCAGAAACACTGAGTTGGGCCACTCACAGTGAACTTACTTGTATGATATTTCTTAAAACTATTTAGATAATTAATTTTCAACAAACAGAACACAATGAGAGCTTACCCTCTCTCAGTACCTATTACAACTTTGTATGCTGCAGCGTATTATATAAAGGACACTTCTCACCTGAAAACTATTTTTTAATATAATAATCCTTTCATCAAGTTTTGAAATGAAATATATATTTTTTTTTAAATGAGGTATATTTAGAAAACAAGATAAATGTATTCCTACCATTAGTATATGACAAGATCCTTCAGCCATATACATGCAGCTTGGGTTCGACACTCTAAAATCCGACAATTAGTGAAGCAGGAAAGGTTATAGAGACTGATTGTCAGTTTTCAAACAGTGTCTGACCTAAGCTACACCCTGTCATATACTGAAGTTAGGGATATGTTTTTCTCATTTTTTACATATCCTTTTTTTTTAACTTGATAAAAGTATTATTATATTTACAATAGTTTTGAGGTGACAGTTGTACTTTAATTGCGGATCACACATGAATTTAAAGGGAAATATACCATTTACAGCACAATAGGTATTATGTACATAGACAGACAGATAATTCCATAGATAGGTAGGTAGAAAGACAGATGTGCAGAATATAGGAAAGATCACACAGTAAGAAAAGGTTTCATGTTAAATGGTCACTGCAGCATACATGAAGTGTACCTTCAACAAAGTATATTTACTTCTGCAGCAATACTCAAGCTCTTAATAGGATTTCCATGGCAGAGTTGTCATCTCCAAGGATGTAACAGTTGTAATTTAAAGTGGCTCTGTAACTTCTGAATATTCCATAAATGTATAATCTTTCTGAAATATTCATATTGAATTTCCTTGAAATTCCATCGCCATCCAAAAATTTGTAAAAACAAAGTAGAAACTGATATGTCTTATGGACGAAGCCAAGGTTGACCAAAGGGAGAACTTCTACCATCAACTTTGTGACTTTCCAGCAGTCATCACTAGCGGTGTCTATGGGGAAAGTCACTACAAAAGTAGTTCTGTGTAGGATTCTGTGGTTTTGTGGGATCTTCCATAGACCTCGTTGTGTACTCTTAACACATTTATGTGGGTACAACAATGACATGGGCTCCTGGTAAATGAAGCTGATGACACACCTGCAAGGAATAGCATTTGGTGAGTACGTATGCTGTTTGATTTTCCCCTTCATCTGCACACACCTAACGGGCATGCCACCATTGGGATTCTTTGCTAAGACCCCTAAAGTCAAAGATCTGCACACAACTGTAACAACTACAAATATTGTTGTATGTATGAGTGATCTTAGATTGCTTTTTTTAGAAGTATGTCAGCTATAAAATAAATCTGATAATTAGCACTTTGGTTTGTGAGGAACTTTGAGTATGAATGATTAATACTGATGTGTTGATCACATGTGAGTACAGAAATATTATGAAACTACCACACTACCACTTTTGATCATGTTTACCCATTATAGTAAAAATGCTCAAAAGAGGTTTATTATCAAAAATAAAATAAAACAAATCAAGAAAACTACAATTATATCAACTGTGCAATTGCAGCACCCAATACTATTTATTGTACATGAAATGAAGTCCTGACATTGGACACTCTGAAACTGCTTTTTGCTTACGACACTGTATGTGTGTGAGGTGGTGTGCTGTGTTATTGTTTAACAATTGTTACACATTTTAAAATGTAAATAAAAAATTTAATAAATAAAAGTAAATTAAAAAAAGAAATGTCTATATGTTACAGTACAGGTGGTCCTTGTTTTGCGACCTACCTGTTTTACGACGGCTTGCACTTACAAGCATAGATTAGAGGGATTCCCTGTTCTGGTGCTTCGTCTATGTTCGGGGATGTTTCCCCGAACATAGACAAGCACACAAGAGCAGGAAATCCCTTAACTCCTCACTTACCGACCAATTCATTCTACTGCGAGGGCATAGGAACAGAACCCGGTCGGTAAGTGAGGAGTACCTGTATATTCAAACAAGGAAGAACAGTACCCTTTTTTCAGCTAGTTACAACCAAAAACCGTTAACTAATGTTGAATTTGTATGTGTATTTGTGTAGCTATTACTGTCAAGGGTTTAGATTGTTGAATGCATTACAAGTTTAAGTTTATCTTATGCTGCACTAGTTGTACTCGAAATGGGCCATGATCTAATTTAGATACATCGTCTGCCTTCAGAGTAATTTTACTTGGCAATGTTTTCTAAATGTGGATATTTTCTCTGCCATAAAGTCTTTTGTTTTACTTGAATTGTTTCTTTATCCTGTTTTCTCTTTTTATTTATTGGTAATACATATATTTTCTGATTGTTTTACAATAATAGATATAATAATGTAGAGTTGTTTTGTATATGTATTATGGTGTATTTGTTATGTCTTGATATTTTGCCTCACCGATCCACAAAAGCCCTTTATTAATGTTGATAAATGTGGCATACTATTGATTGTATGATTTGATTTTTTTGGTTCTTTTTTTAGAACCAGTTTGTACTAAAAATTTTAAAATCAATAAAAAAAATTAATAAAAGAAAAATAATATAAAGTTGTATCCCTTGTACAAAATCTGGACCTGTAGCCTATGAATAAAATGAATATGTTTTTATGAGTCATCTCTTGTCTTTTTTGTACATCGGGACAGTTTGCCTTTGGGAAACAACCTCTTTAAATCATCATTTATGTTGCCAACTGTTAAACATGGTAATTGATATATAATACCATTTGAGGACGTGTTTTGGTTCTCATTAGAAAAACAGTTGGTCTCCATCCCTTAAACTAGACATCACTGGACCTTTTGGGGTTTTCTGTAGTTCGGTATACGGAGGAGGATTCCCTGTATTGCCCTTATCCCTCTCACAAAGAACTAAAGGCCTTTATTCTTCAATAATATCCTGTTTTTCACATTTTGTATCGCTGCATTCCATTAATGAAGGACTGAATCTGTTGTGAAGGCAAAGGATGTCTCTACCCCTTTCTATGTCCTAGATATTAGAATATTGATAGATGCAGAAGTTATTCTATTATAAATAAATAAATAACTATATATGTAGGAGAATATTTTTATATTGTTTATATTTCTTCCACCACTTCAGTATAGCGTTATATCAGCAGCAAGCTAACAAAAATTGGATTAACTGAAAAACTTTAAAAAAAAATCATCTTGTTATCAGCTCAAGAAAAAGGTTTTATTTTACAAAAAATATATACATAAACTCGGCTTGTGAGATAGCTCTGTGGGATAATGCATCGGTAGAATCTGTTCAACCCTCAGGTCGCAGGTTCAAATCCCAGCAGCGTTGACTCCGCCCTTCAACCTTCAGAGGTAGATAAAGTGAGTAAACAAAATCAAATATGGATTAGTGCTAAAAAAATGCCACAAAACGTAGTTAAATTTGTAAATATTTTAAGGCAGCACACCTGTAAGAAGAGGCGTCCCCTCTAGGATAAACTAGATGGAGAGAAAAAAATACAATGAGGTAGCGCCTATAGAGGTAGAATATATATAATAGATTGATGAATAACATACAATACATAAAAAAATCACTTAAAAGTCCAGATGCCTTAACAATAGTCCAAGTGAAATTGTTCAGAATAGTGCCATAGAATATTTATGGAACAGCAAACTGGTTTTGATTGTGGTGGTGTCACAGGATAAAACTCAGTGTTCAACAGGATATGTGGAAAATAAACAGAAAGAAAAGGGCTCCAATGGTATGGTATATGTGTACAACAAGTGCAGAGGGTATATATATATAAAATATTACAATCTCCAGAGCTATATTCTAGCTCCAGATAAAATGAGTACCATTAAATTGGGTAACAACCCAATGTTGGGGTAAGGTAACATCCCCAGGGTGTACTTAAAAACCAGGGTAATTAGAATGTACTTTTACTGGATAAATACTTTGTTATTATTATTATTTTAGCTAAGAACATCATTTACAGTTTACAGTGAAAAAGGTTAATAGGGAAATCTGGAAATATAAAATACAAGAACAAAATTTTAAATAATATGCAATGTTAATCAAGAGCATAATTTACAAAATGAATAACAATGAAAACAATCAAAACAGTAAAAATGACAACAACAAAAATGACAGCATAGGAGCGCACAACAGACTCTAAAATGCCATTCCTGAAGAGATTTTTCCATTAGTTTATGAAGATCAAGTTTAGGTGAAAAAATATATGTATGGTCCTTGTGCTTGTTCATATGAGGGACACCAGAGAACAAAATCGTGATCGTGGGACAGGACCCTGAAATTGGGACTATCCTGCCAAAATCAGACTGTTATAGGGCCTGAAATCGCAAACCATGGTTGGGAAGTTTATCAAGGGATAATATTCATACTATACAAAGCCTCTGTCATACACAAACTTCCAACAATTACAACAAATGTTATTTCTCACACAGGTTCTACGGTCCTCCACTTGCTGTTGTGTGACATTGAACCTACTTTTGGAGAACATGGAAATTCAGAATGCCTCAGTGTACTTCAAAAGAGTGTCATATATGTTAATATTCAAAATATCTGTATGTAGCGTTTCTGCTGTTTAGAATTATTATGTATGCAATTGCTGTAGACATACTATCGTGTAAGAGCAGGAACCTATAATATAACTGAAAACAGAAAATCATACTCTGTGTGGTAATAAATGTAACCATCAAATTGAAAACTGCACTGTAAACCTAAATCCCCTCTCCTTGTCATTTCAGGACTCTAACCACATTGAGCTGTGGCCCAGATCTGTCCAAACTACTATACACAGTAAATCAAAATACGTTAAACAGGAAAGTAAAGCACAATGTACCCTATCATTACTTAGTTATTTTTGTATGGAAAAAAAATAGCTAACTTTGATTGGAAACATGGGATGCACAGCTAGCAGAAAATTGTGGGATACAACATTAATTTGTAGACCCAAGCCTAGACATAAATAGACAGATTAATATTAGTGGGACCTTGCTAATATTTAAAGACTGATAGTTATAACACAATAAAACACGATTAAACTGGCCTCTTGGCCTATTATAGTAGTTTTATGTTCTGTAAACATGTCTGTGAATATAGTAGATAGAAAATATACACAAGATGGAGTATCTTACATATATTTTCTGAAAGCTTGAATCCTTAAGGAGTGTAATCCTATAGTTAGGGAAAAGGAAAGCAAACACTAGCGCAATATTGTCTGAATGGAAAAATGTAAGTAGATTGAAATATGTATTTACACTCACAAATAAAGAGCCAGTAAATTCTCGGCTCAAGATATCAGCGTTGTGGGATTTTGTAGGGTCCCACTCCCTCTTCTGTATACTGCAGTAGTTTCAGATCATTGATAGTAGTCACCAATCCAATGATTAATTTAAGTGCTTTATTTGCCAAAAAGTGCATAAAGGTTAAAAAACAACAAATTTAAGAATAAAAAGTCCTTACAGTATGAGTGGTAAGTCCTTCAAGTGTGCAAAACGCACTTCCTCGGTTGCTGTGGTCCGGTCCATATCGCCACCCTTCTTTTAAGTAGTTGGATACCCGCCGTTTTCAGGTGTCCTCAATTCCGGAGTTGTGCTTCCTATTCCAGTTTTGCATTCCATGTGAGCACGCAGCATCTGTGCGTATCCGATGCACTTCCGGTTCTCTTTGTGGGAGGTGGAACGCATCCTAATTTGGAACGTTCCACTGTCTGCTTAACAGTTCCCTGTTTTTATTGTCCGTGGAAGTGCTCGGCAAAGTGTGTGTTGTGGGAAAAAGGAGGAGGGAAGGAATATTGGATAAGACATATGGCATAATGCCTCTAGATGTTGTTAAAACAATATTGTTTAGAATTATTCTGGCAATATTGCATAAAAAAACAAAAAACTGAAACATATATTATATACATGTATTTACAACATGTATTTCCCTAGAAAAAGGGAGAAGTCCCAACAACCTAACCTGACTCGAGTAAGAAATCATTGAGGCTATGTCTGCCTTCAAACATTGAAACCTTTTATGTATTATAAAGAAAAACCAAGGAAAACTTACCCTACTACTTCCAGACCTGGAAATAGATCAAGAGAAAGAGGTTACAACTACATTTATTCTTCTTACCATGAGATGACACAAGAAAAACCTTTCAAGGAACAGATATTCACATTGTTTAGGCAGAATACTATAAACAAGAACAGTTTGAAACAACCAAACCAAAAGATGACAGACAACAGAACAGCATGGTGATTACAGGAGAAATCCACAATCACCCCATAGAGGAAGTTTTTTTTAGGTAAGGCGTCAAGACAAATCACAACTTAGTTACACCCGGTAACTCCAAGAAAACAACCAAAAAGTAGGGGACTCAATATAGAAGAATGGTAGGAGGAAGGAGTAAAAGAAAAAAGAAAGGAAAACAAAAGAAGTAAGCAATAAAAGCAAGCTGGGAAAAGGATCTCAACATGACACTAACAGATGATGACTGGAGAAAGATCATTCAATAGATCCACAAGAAATCTATCAATGTAGCCACACAAAAAAGCAATTACAAAAGAATAGTACGATGGCATTACACACCACCTAAACTCAAGAAACGATTCCCAAATTCCCAAAGTCATTGCTGGAGATGCCACCAGCAAAATGGTGACACAGCACATATCTGGTGGACATGTCCAGAGATCCAAAAATTCTGGTCTAGAATAGCCATATTTATACACGCCATTTCCGATATACAAATACCAATCGTACCAGAGACCTTCATATTCCACCTATTACCAGAGGCCTACAAAAAACACACAAAATCTTTAATCGACCACCTACTAACCGCCGCAAACCAACTCATACCAATAAAATGGAAGAAAGCAAATCCTCCATCAATCAGGGAATGGATATAAAAGGTCAAAAACATTAGGATAATGGAAGAAATGAACCACGTTCTCTCTAAAAACTACCAGATCTACTCTAATATCTGGGACCCCTGGTGCAAGTTCATACAAAATAATGCTTGTGTAACTACACCAGCATTTTAGCAGATACCTCATTCTAGATATTATTACCAAACACCTACACTCTAGTGGAGAAGGTTGGATTGCCCCATCCAAACAAAATAGAGATGAGTTGTCTTATCACAAGCCACAATGTTTAACGACTCATAACAGCTCCCACCCACTTCCCCCTTCCAACCCTCTACCCTTCCCCAAAATATGGGAAGAGATGCCAAATAATGCTGTCCTGAAGCACCCCGATCACAATATACAAAATAGACGGCTGCCTAACAATTGTACTAATTGGTTAGTTATAGGTTTATATGTTTATAATTTTTATCTATAAAAAAAAAAGATTGAATCCATTTTCATATGTCAGAAGTATGCATACAACAATACTTCAGCGTATGTAAGACATTGTCAAAGCAATAGATAATAACTAACAATTTACTCTTAATGCCTTTGTTAATATGTATATGTAAAATTGTCATCTATGTACGATATTTCATGTAAACACATGCACCAAAATAAAAAATTATTAAAAAAAAGAAAAAAGAAGGAAGCAAAGGGAATCTTCAACTTAGTCAATATGGAACTTATGACACCACAAATATCGGTCCTTAAAAAAAGATTGAATTTGTCCAGATCTCTTGTTGGGGCATATTTCCGTTATATAATAGACATCAAGAGATTCATCAGCCTTAAAAAAACATTGCCTCCAACAAGGTCAATAATTAAATAATATAAGAACTCCAAACTTTTGATATATACGTACACAGTGATTTTAAATGCACTCCAAATTTTTGATAAATACGTACACAGTGATTTCAGACCTAGATCTATCTTCTTCCTAACCAATCAGATATCCTGAAATATGGGAATTTTTGAGGAAATGGTAGTGGTAGACATGGATAAAACTAGTAAATAGAAAGACACGTATAATAAATTGCGCAAAGCAGAAAGAAGGGCTATTAAAGAATGTACACACAATAAATAAATTATCATCAGATGGGCAGATAATGGAGAAGGCATTGTTATTATGTTTACCAAATATTATATGGAGGGGGCATCAAGGCTCCTGGGAGACAGGATGACCTATGTAATTCTCAAATAGAATTCTCTTGAATCCATGCAAATTTCTCAGAGAACTCTTTTTAAAGGAAGCTAAAGAAGAAGGAATAATCGCTTTGGCAGAATATAACTTTCTCTTTATCATGCATCCAAAAAAAACCCAGTATTTTATTTTTTCTACCCCAAATCCATAAGAACCTCTCACGTCCAGCAGGAAGATCCATAATTTGGAATATAGATTCCCTAACAGCCAATCTGTTGCAATATACAGACCGCTTCCTCCAACCGTTTTTTACAAAAGTTAAATCACACATGAAAATACATGACTTGCATAATGAAACAAGTAATGAACCTTCCGTGGCACAGTAATTACCATCTTGTGGTATCAGGTATGTTACCTCACTGTATACCATTACCACAGTAGAGGCTGCAATGCAGTACATCATGCTCTAAAAAACAAACAAATTGACTTTATCATTGACAGCATCAGGTTTATCCTAACCCAGAACTATTTCTGGTTCAAATGAACATACTAGTTACAGAAGAAAGGTACAGCAATGGGGATCAAATTTGCTCCAAATTTTGCCAACCTCTTTTTAATCCATAGGGAAAACCATGTTTGGAGCAACGACACATGGAAAGATAACATAAAAAATACATTGATAATGTATTGTGTATATGGAAAGGGGACAAGGCATCACTGGAAGAATTGTTAAAACATCTTAATACCAACTATCGGGGAGTGCTTCTTAAAACACATATAGAAAATGGCTAAATTAAAACTAAACTCAATTCATAGAGGATATTGTTGACAGCATAATTTCAAAAGAACGTGGTCAATATCAGATATAGCTTTAGAATATTCCTTATAATTAGTTTAGAAGGTTAGGAAGGAATTGTACAGATATAGAAGAATACAGGAAACAGGCTGGTACTTTTGAAAAGAGACTACAAAGAAGGAGAACTAGATAAACAGATCATGAAAGTGGAAAAAATGAAAAGCTCCTCTCTATAAAAAAGGAAATTAATCCACAGGACAAACTGAAGAAAGACTCTATATCCTCCATCATTTAAACTATAATAGTGAAAATGTCCAATTAAAAAGAATCATTAAAAACCATTGGAACCTACTTAAGACCTTGCACCAGAAAAAACAAGGATTGTTTTCAGAGGAACTCCTAACATCCACAACCAGATTGTCTGAAGTCATAGAATTTACATCATCACAGAAAAAAGATTTTACAGATGCAACAGCTGTGCGGCATATAAAGAATGTAAGGCAAATATTAATCGAAAAATAACAGTAATAATTTGTCCAAGGCAGACAACCACCTTTAAAATAAAAGACCATATGATGTGCAACAGCAAGTGTGTGATTTACATGTTGGAGTGCCCACAAGGTCTAAGATATATAGGCAGAACAAGACAATTATACATCAGAATCAGGGAACATATGAGAAACATAAAGAAAAATTTCATGCAACATATTGTTTTGGCTCATTTTGCCACACACTATAATGCAGACACAAATTTACTGAAGTTTATGGACATCTGCAAAGTGAGAAACACTGGAGAGGAGGTGATTTGATAAAATAATTAGGTAAGACAGAGATGAAGTGGTTCTGTCAACCGGGAACAATTATTCCCAATGGCCTCAATCTAGACTTTGAAATGCACCAATGTTTGTCTTGAAGTAGTAAAGGCAAGTCCTTTTTACTTTTATGTGCATTTCTGAATTTATTTAATTTTTACACGTAATTAATGCCTTAGATCTTGATGATTAGCAGTATTTATTCATATTCTTCAGACCTTATTTCTTCTATGGTAACTTGATAGTCCACATATGCACAGGATTATTATATCGAACACTTAATTGTGTTTCTGAAGTTCCTTACGTGGTGTTTAGGATAGGATATAATATCTTATCCCTGAGTCCCTTATGCTGTGACAGAAACTCCATGGTTCAATAATTATTATTGTGATAGAGTTACTATTAAGCTTATGCATGATACTAATTTATATCTTTTAATTCCTTCTAAACACTTTTTTAAATGATACCAAGTTGTATCCCCGAATCTCTTAGTTGTATTCCCAATTCTAAGTTATATTAAAATGCATCACCGAATTCCTTACCAGTCACGAATTTAGCTGCATCCCCGAATCCATATTTGTACTAATTCGCAACAGCGAAACCCTTAACGATCACTGATTTTGTGACCGAAAACTTCTGAGTGCTTAGAAAAAAGCTTAGATGGAAAGTCCCACATGAGAGACAGAAGCTGCCCTTTTCCTCTGGCCACTTCATGCATTATGCATTATTGGACTTTAAAGGATGGGAAGGAAATATTAATTTCAGATAAAGCCATTGATAAAGCCCTTTGACTGGGCGAAACGCATCTGGTCAGAGACCTTGACTCATAGAAAGAGAGTGAGCAGCACTTAACCAAACTCTGCTGGAGCCAGGAGCCCCTCCTGGACCTTGCCAAGGACAGTGAAACTGGAGAATGGAGCGGCACCCTTTGGGTACCATACACTCCTATGGTTTACTGTAATTGAGTCAAATACAAGGAGAACCAGAGTTTCTGAACCCCTGTATGCGGCCCTACTTGATAAGCTGGTGATCTCCTATTTAAATGTGAGTGCCCATATATAATTTTTTTACATATATTTGAATACATTTTCCATAGTGTTAACAAAACTACGCTATCAGTATTTTTCTATCTTCCCCTCCTAATTGTGTTTTTTTGTTATAGTATACCTATATGGGAATATTGGAGACGACATCACTTTTACTCGAAATAACTTGATTTATAGGACTTATACCCATTGTACAGCGCTACAGAATTTGCTGGACCTATATAAATAATAAAATAATAATAATAATTACCTACTGACTTGTGTATTTCCTCTCAACTAAAGAAAATCAATCTTTTGATTACAAGGGGACAATTTAATTGTCTCCCTGACACTCTCTCTGCTGGTAGAGAGGGGGACCAACTGTCTCCCTTTCCAATAATGGCTCTGCCGCTGGGGATCTGGGCCGACTGCCTAGCATCCCTGTAGGGCCCTGTTACGGTACCTTCAGGGATAAATGTACAAACCGCCGTTTACTATTGGTATTACATTCACATTCCATGTTTCTATGGTCCTACTAATTTTAGTATTATTTTCTGTACATAATTTTTTTAGGGTCAGCTGCTCCTAGAGGTAGTTTTATTTTACTACTACTTCATCAGTAGACCACAGTGCCCCTAGAGGGAGACTCATAGGCTACGTTATGCATGTATATATAGTTTTCTCTGTGCTCAAACCCCACCTCTCCATTTTTGTTACAAATAATAATATTAATAGTAATAATAACGACGTATTTAACCAGAAAAGGTACATTCAGTTTACTCTGGTTTCCAAGTATGTCCTGGGGATGTTACTTGTGACAATGTAAATAGATATATACATTGTCACATTGTGTGTTTCTAAATATTTTCCAGTAACCTTTTGTTGTTATTGGCAAATTAGTTCCCTAAAAATGCCTCGTAAAGTACATTACAACATGCATCTATATAATAGACGACACTGTAGGCTGTTATTGCAGTCTGCAAATATGTGGCATAGTGTACTGTGTGTCCTCTCCTCAGAACCCTTCCTACTTTTGCATGCCTCTCTGGGTGTCATAATGTAACCATGAAGTTTGAACTAAAGTATTTCCTATAGAGTGTGTATTGGGGGTGGTGGTTCTTCCAGGAATTTCTATCTCTGCAGTGTGACATTTGTGACACATTTTATGGGCTGAATTTGACTTTCCATTGCTTTGTAAAAACAAAACTTATCCTGTGCATAAACATTGATTAGTCTAAAGTAGTTAACTCTGAGAGACATTTCAGTTATGAAGAACAATAATTCCTCCCAGTTTTACATCCCATCCTTGACCTCTGACATTTCTCTAAATGTAAACCAGACTCAAAGTGTGATAATAATGTCAGAAACACAGAATGCATGTCTCTGTTTTCAGTTATATTGTACCTCTTCTATAACAGTAAACTAACAAAAATATTCTAATAATTCACTAAAGTGCAAATTCTCGCAGTTTGCAAAATTCATCCAATTCTTTCCAATGACATTCAGGCTGCAAAATTTGGAAAAATAAGCATTTGATTGAAGGTGAACCTCTACTGGTTTGCAGCGTGTCAGAATGCAACTGAACACACAGCCACCATTTTCTGACCTGTTATATACATTATATTCATGTTATCGGGCAGATCTTACAAGTGTCAAGACTTGATTATCAGAGAGTAGTGATGTCCCGAACGGTTCGCCACGGACTCATCATTGAGTAAACTTTGACCCTGTACCTCACAGTCAGCAGACACATTCCAGCCAATCAGCAGTAGACCCTACCTCCCAGACCCTCCCACATCCTGGACAGCATCCATTTTACATTCATTGTGAAGCTGCATTCTTAGTGAGCTGTCCAGGAGGTGGGAGGGTCTGGGAGGTTCTGCTGACTGTGAGGTACATGGTCAAAGTTTACTCAATGATGAGTCCGTGGCGAACCATTTGTGGCGAACTGTTCGCGGACCGTTCGGCGAACCGTTCGGGACATCACTATCAGAGAGCTGTGAATGCAAAGCTTAGGTACCAAATTGCGGTGGTAGCTGATGTAGGACCCTGGTGACATGGAGAAGTGATGGATGCAGTCCGGATTCAAATTTAGATACCAACCACCCTGTTACAGCCTCCATAACAGTTGCACTCCAAGTACACAAGTGCTTTCCCAAAACAAACCATATTTCTTATTTAAAGACATACTTTTCACGCTACATATTTTGCATTTGTAACAACGTCTTCTGACTGACAGTTTAACTAATATTTTTCCACTCTAGGGTGTGGGTTTAAATAATATGTCTGTGCTTTCTCTGCAAAATCTTTTCCGGAAATACAAAGAAATAAAAGAAAAATCATAATGTATATGAAAGGATCTGTATGGAGATGTGAATGCTCCTATATTTAATTGTACCTTCTGTTTTAAGTTAGCAAAGATCATTATAATTAATTTGTAAGATTCTGACAACATGGAATTAGACATATTTTTTTTTTGTTTATCCACATGTCACAGCAAAGATGCTGCAACATATTTTAGCATATTCAGAACCAAAAGTATGAGATTACAGAGGCAATTGCTTTGTCCTCGCCAGCCAAATAAATTATTCCTAGGGTGAATATAAACAGACAGAAAAAAACATGATGGCAACATTTATTTCAATGAAATATTAAAGTGAACTCTATTAGAAAATGGGTGTCTAATAAACTTACACTAGGACCTGTTTAATTTAAGACAGATTTTACTAAATTGTTTTTGCTTTCTGAGTTCTGTGCAGTAAATAGTACATTTATTTCAAGAGGTGTATATTGAGATATTAAGATTTTAGAATACATTTTTCCTGAAAATTCCATTGCTAAAGTAGACTAGGATCGCCATTAATCTGTCATGTTGATTTGGGCAGCCTAAAAGATGTTTAAAATATCTATATCTAGATTTTGTGAGTCACTTGTTTTCTAAATTATAAAATTTAGGAAACATTTAGTTTTTAGGTTTCTTAATAGATTTTTAGTTTGATGTTTTAGTATGGTCATTGGCATCTAAAGAAGGATGGGGGGTGAGAGTCAGGAGGGGGAATTTCTCAATGCTGGGAAACTTCTCACCCAGCAAGCCTTTGAAAAACCACGAGTAACCAATTGGCATCATGGTACAGACTATCGTTCCAAAGACCCCAAACATTTTGACCATCAGCCAGGTTTTAGGTTTGTATCCCTGATCTTTCAGAGAACCGTCAGGAACAATGAGGGATTGAAGTTTCTCCAAGTTAGCTTCTAGTTTTTGATTCATGATGTCTCCTCAATGTTTATTCATGCTGCTTAGCTTCTGTTCTCTATTAGAAAATAAATGTCATGTTAGAATAAACATTCCCTTTTTATTAACATCATGGATCTGTCTGTTGTGGCACTGAAAGGGTTTTTTGAGTTTTAATCAGACTATGCTAATTAGCCTGTATGGCAATATATAACTACTCATTACCTCTAGTCTCTATAGACACAGACATTATTCCAAAAACCGGGTCTTTTTACCCCTTCGAACCGAACATCAACCCCATCTGGTAAAACGCTAATGGAATGGTAGCTTTTATAATTTCCTGTAGTGCTTTTTCACTCTGACCTGGTCTTTTTTTGTGGCCTATAGGCAGATTTATGTAAAAAAATTGAATAACATCTGTTACAAGACAATAAAAAATAATAATAGTGTAATGTTTGTATGACAAGCACAGATTTATATAATTCACAATTTACCTTTTGAGTGAACCTCGGAAGATGTCCTAGGGAGCCCCACCTGCCCTTACTGCTGAGGAAATGACTCCAATGGATTTCCTGGTATTCTGTTTTCACTAATAGTACCATAAAATTTACTTTTCACTCTTACATGTGAGATATAAGTGTAATCCCATGAGTTTCACAATGAGAACACCAAGCATGACATCTGAATACCTGGTGCACATACAATAAATAAAGAATAGCAGGAGAAATCAGTGCTAGCAGTTGACATCTAAAAACCCTTTTTTTAGTGCCTCATTGGCCTGCGAAATATATATAACCATTCTACTCCCCCATAGACCTAGGCCTAGTTGGCATCATAGGAATACTTCCCTTAATATACCTAAAATACTAAATTATAGTTAAAATACCTATCAACATTCCAAGATTAATTTTTTCACTTCAGGTGGTAAAGGGTTGAGCATTTTGTTTAGTACTACCTAGGAACTGGCCCATACGTATGTACTATCGATTCTGTTTAATAGACTTGTATAGGGAAGGTTTGTTTGTTTTTGCGGTAATCATATAATTTTTAAGGTTACATTAATGGTTCAAAACTTAAAATATTATTTAAAACAGACTTACAAATATTAGTTAATTAATTCAGCTCCTGTATACAGTGTTAAAAAGGTAAGTGGGGATTCCTAAAAGCCAGAAACCCCAACTAATTATGCAGTTTCCTGCAATGTAATGAAAATTTGAAAATTGCATCTTTATATTCTCTCGCACTCCATAAAGTTGTGACGAGGTTTCTTAGCAGACTGAGTTAATTGGTACAGTCAAATTAAAACCATTAATTCTGAAACATTTTACTATAACGATTTGGTGTTTAAGCGTGGCTAGGATTTAGTTAATTTTACTGTTTGTCATAAAAGAGCATTTTTTTTCTGGCACAGTAGTTTTAGTGCAAGCAAGGCCAAGATTAAGTTTGAAATTTCATTAGTCACCCTCGTCATCGATCTACAGACTAAAAAAAAAAAAAATCTGAAAGGCTACGTGGACTTCGTTTAGAAAGTGAGGGTTGTGTACAAAGATACAGAGAACATGGACAAATGTTTGGATGACTGTGAGATCATAAAGAGAGAAAAATCAGTTCTCAGGAAATTCTCAGCACCATCAAATAAAACATTGAAAATCACCCATAACTTGTGTTAACCATTTTTCATGTGATACTTTATTTTATTTTAAATGCATATTAAAGATTTAGCAGTGCACACACAATACAATTTATTCCAGGCTAAGTGAGGGCAAATGTTATCTTAGTGTCTCCTATTTAAAAAAATAAATAAAAAATGCTCTCTGTGTACGGACAGGTGAAAAAAAAAAAGAACCCCAAACAATGATTGCCCGGAATCTAAGATAAATGCATTCACTCCCTAGGAACACTATGTAGATTTCAAAAGTTTATTTTTTATATTTATGAAATATAGAGATAAGGAAACATAAAATAAAAAATTCCTGGGAAGTGATGCTTCCCATTTAACGTAGAGCTGTCACTATGATATTTGAATATATATTTGGATATATATGGTGTGTTATCTCCTTAATTTGCACATTATGACCTGTGATGTTTTATTATTTTGTTTGACACCTTTCCATGTGTCTAACCTCAGGTTATTTCTCTTCTCTGGAAGTGCTTGTTTATTGCTCTGTTATCTCATTAAATGGTGTTGAAGTACTTACTGCGGTGAGCAATGCAGCAGATGTAAGTATAAAAACACATATCCATTTTTGTGGTGACCTCATATTCCCAAAAACTAGAAAAAAAGGCTTCCGATCAGAGTGGATATGGATAGGCAGATACTGCCTTCTAGAATGAAGTTGTGAACTTTGTCCTTTAAAAGTTGCTGTAGAATGTGAGAAGAGGAAGGATGCCATTAACATCCATCTGCATAGACACAGAATGCCATAATGGAGCCATGAAGGAAAAGATGGTTCTTCTGCAGAGTGAAAAGCAGGGTGGAGTTTTATGGAAAATGCTTAGTATGAGTATACACATTAAACTTGCTGTAATCATTATTGCAATACACTGGCTTGTTTTTAGAGGGGAATTACCACAAAAAAAAATCATAATTAACATATGTTAAACATCAGGAAGATATAATTAGCATTCTACAATTTTAATAAACAAACCATCATGGAAGTATGCTAATGCTAATTTAATGCCAAATCACATTAGATCCATTACTTCATTAAAAAATAAATAAATATTGAACTGGGATTAACTGCGATAGGCTCTTGTTCCTGTTTCTTTTCTATCTTTCCACCAGTCTCTGCTCTCAAACTTCCTACAGTACATTTTCCCACCCTCTTTATTGTCTACTCTTGGATGCTTTTGTCATATCTGATCAATGCATTTCTAAATCACTGTTGGTTCATATTATCTACTACCTTTTCCCTATGATCTTTCCCATCACACTCATCTGTTAGTCTACCCATCATAACTCTTACACCTCTTTGTATAGGTTTTTTTTGTGCTCAAATTCTTGAACCTTGTTTTTTAATCCCAATACCTGTCAGTTCTCTGGTTTCCCCTCCTTCTCTCGCTCTGTCCTCTGAATTCCCCCCAAATGTGTACGTTTTTAATTAAAAACTTTCTTAAACTGTGACCCAGGTAATTCCCTAATTCTCCAATAGTCCGTTCCTCATCTGTGTCAAGATTCTTCACTACTCTTCCACATTTTATCCCATGGTCTACCCTATCTCCTTCATCTCTGTCCCTTGGTCTCCTTTTTGGTCTCTGTTTTCTCAAAAATTTCCACTGTTTTCTAAAAATAAACAACACTATGTTGATATCAAATACATATCAGAAAATTAAAAATAAATACACAGCATCCATTAAAAGATCAACTGAAAATAGAAAACTATAAATAAATAAAGATTCAATTAAAAAGTAGAAAAGATAGGGAGTATATTCCTTATGCCATCCTCACTCTTATCAAAAAGTATGTAATTATAGCTATTATCATAAACAATATATCAAATGAAAGACACATAGAAAGTGTAATTCTAGTATTAGCGGGATACGCAATAGACAGATAGCTTGATAGAATAGACAATGTGAAATAGCCTTTAGTAGAAACATTGTAACACAATATTGGCAAATCAATCCCAGGACCTTAGAATGAAAAATGCTGTCACAATCTTTAGTGTAAAAACTGGATTCAAAATCCCAGATCACCTAAACAGTGCCAACAGTATACAGGGAGTGCAGAATTATTAGGCAAATGAGTATTTTGACCACATCATCCTCTTTATGCATGTTGTCTTACTCCAAGCTGTATAGGCTCGAAAGCCTACTACCAATTAAGAATATTAGGTGATGTGCATCTCTGTAATGAGAAGGGGTGTGGTCTAATGACATCAACACCCTATATCAGGTGTGCATAATTATTAGGCAACTTCCTTTCCTTTGGCAAAATGGGTCAAAAGAAGGACTTGACAGGCTCAGAAAAGTCAAAAATAGTGAGATATCTTGCAGAGGGATGCAGCACTCTTAAAATTGCAAAGCTTCTGAAGCGTGATCATCGAACAATCAAGCATTTCATTCAAAATAGTCAACAGGGTCGCAAGAAGCGTGTGGAAAAACCAAGGCGCAAAATAACTGCCCATGAACTGAGAAAAGTCAAGCGTGCAGCTGCCACGATGCCACTTGCCACCAGTTTGGCCATATTTCAGAGCTGCAACATCACTGGAGTGCCCAAAAGCACAAGGTGTGCAATACTCAGAGACATGGCCAAGGTAAGAAAGGCTGAAAGACGACCACCACTGAACAAGACACACAAGCTGAAACGTCAAGACTGGGCCAAGAAATATCTCAAGACTGATTTTTCTAAGGTTTTATGGACTGATGAAATGAGAGTGAGTCTTGATGGGCCAGATGGATGGGCCCGTGGCTGGATTGGTAAAGGGCAGAGAGCTCCAGTCCGACTCAGACGCCAGCAAGGTGGAGGTGGAGTACTGGTTTGGGCTGGTATCATCAAAGATGAGCTTGTGGGGCCTTTTCGGGTTGAGGATGGAGTCAAGCTCAACTCCCAGTCCTACTGCCAGTTCCTGGAAGACACCTTCTTCAAGCAGTGGTACAGGAAGAAGTCTGCATCCTTCAAGAAAAACATGATTTTCATGCAGGACAATGCTCCATCACACGCGTCCAAGTACTCCACAGCGTGGCTGGCAAGAAAGGGTATAAAAGAAGAAAATCTAATGACATGGCCTCCTTGTTCACCTGATCTGAACCCCATTGAGAACCTGTGGTCCATCATCAAATGTGAGATTTACAAGGAGGGAAAACAGTACACCTCTCTGAACAGTGTCTGGGAGGCTGTGGTTGCTGCTGCACGCAATGTTGATGGTGAACAGATCAAAACACTGACAGAATCCATGGATGGCAGGCTTTTGAGTGTCCTTGCAAAGAAAGGTGGCTATATTGGTCACTGATTTGTTTTTGTTTTGTTTTTGAATGTCAGAAATGTATATTTGTGAATGTTGAGATGTTATATTGGTTTCACTGGTAATAATAAATAATTGAAATGGGTATATATTTGTT